TCACAAATGTGCCCAATCCAAATTTACAGAAGGTGCAGGAATCGCCTGGGCAAGCACAGGTGCATAAAAATCAGCTTCAGGTGCCTACCTGGCACATGTGCTTTTTCTGTCTTGTCTGTTTAGACCATGTCTAAGCAGTTGGGGACAGGTGCCACAGGACCCGCATGTGGGCCTGGCGCCTTTCTGGGCTCACTTAGGCACATTGTAGTTTAGCAGCTCTTGGTGAGGTCCCTGTCCTTTCTCTATGCACATCCACTTGCGGCCCCAGAAGACCCTGTAGACAAGCTGTTGTCCCTGTGACAGGGAACCCCAGTGGCAGGGACTGCGGCACAGCCCAGGAAAACAGGACCATGCAGTTTTTACAAGGGACATTGGTAAAAGGTTGATGACAGATGTTATTTTCCAGGAAAAAGTCAAGACGCTGAATTGAAAGTTCACCCTGGGCTGTGGGGAAGAATTTGCCCCAAGCGGAGAGAGGAGGCGAGAGAGCCCCTCTCCATGCAGCAGGGCTGTCCCTGGGTTTGGACGGTTATTGGGGGCGGCCTTTATTTCCTTACTGATCATTTATAGCATCTTTAAAAGTCAACCTAATAAAATAAAAATAAGACGGGCAGGAAGGAGGGAGAGGCAGTCACCTACAAGAGTCTAAAATCTTTTGGACCTGGTCACAAAGAGACGCTCTCCAGGAGGGTCGCCAGGGCCGCAGGGTCCGGGGCTAGGCCCGGGATCCAGCTAAGCCCTGGCCAACATGCGGACACATGCACACACCCGGACACACCCGCACACACCCGCACACGCACGCGCCCGTGGGCCGCGCCCCGCCGCGCCGGGGCCCGCATTGGCATTCCGCGCCGTTCCCAGCCCGCGGCGCCGCGCGGGGACAGTGGCGCATTGTTCCCCGGACACGCCGGGCGGCGCAGCGCCCTCGGGGCTTGGCGCGGCCCCGCCGCGATTTGCATGCGCTCCAGTCACAAAGGTTCAAGGTCAGGAGCGCCGGGCGGCCCAGCCCCGCCCGGCCCAGGAGCTATTCTTCGCCCTGGCGGCGGGAATTCCTTGCCGCCCGCGCCCGGGACGCCCCTGCGCGTGAATGGCCGAGCGCCGCCACCGTCTGAGGCGCTTTGTGTCTCGGCCCGGCCAGCTGGGCCCGCGAGGGACGTGCCAGCTCGGCCGGCGGCGCCCCCGCGCCAGCGCCCCTCGCCCATGCTAATCAGCCTGGCAGCGCGTCTGGGCGGGCGGCCCGGTCCGGCCTGGGAGCCCCTCACGTTCCCTGCCGGGTGCCCCCTCCTGCCAGGCCCCCTCCCCTAGCTTCCCCTGCTGCCAGGAGACCCCACTTACTCTGCCAGGGGCTCCCCACGACCCTAGCTGTCAGGTGCCTCCACCCGATTCCACATCCATCCCCCGGCCAGAAGGCCCCCTCTCCAGCTGCCCTGAGTGCCCTCTGCCCGGCCAGAAGCGCGGGTGCACCTTGCAGGAATGGCTGATGGGGAGCCTGGGGCCTACGACCCTTCTGGGACTCTGACACGACTCTCTGTGGGGCCTGCGGTCATCTTCTCTCAGCCTCAATTTCCCCTGAACAATGAGGCAGGTTGCCCTTCATGATCTCCAGAGGCACGTCCAGAGCTGGGGTCTCCCAGCAGATGCAGGTAAGGTAGTGGTAAAGATGGCATTCCCCCAGCTCCCGCCTGCTCTGCCATTATCCAGTCTGCTGGCCTGTGGACAGTCACCCTGAGCCCTGAGTCTGGGTCACCGTCTCCAGAGACGTCTTGAGGACTAAAAGAGCTGAGCGTTCCACGTTGGGGCGGCCCTCAGAGCGTGCTGCCCTTATCATCTTCCCACAGGGTAGCCCTGCTCAGGCAATATTATGATTCACCCACTAGACTGGGAGCCTCGAGTGGGCAGGAACTTCTGTATTCCCACAGCACAGTGGCACCCGGGACGCACTGAATGACCTCACAGTTGGATAGGTGAATGCCCCCCAGTGTGGGTCACTCTGTGCAATGGTGGATGGGGACAGGCCACCGCATTTGGCATTTCCAGTACTTGGAAAGAGGCTCAGAGCCTTTCTTGGGAGGCGGGAGCAAGCTTCTCCTGGGAGATCCCCACTGGGTGTTTGGGCTCCATTGTCCAACAGGAACGTCCCCACCCGCAAGCCTCTGGGGAAGCAAGGAAGTTGTCCTTCTGCAGAAAGCTGTGTGCAGGCACACACAGTGCCTGGCCAGGATGCCCATCACGAGGTCCAGAAACTGGAGCTGCAGACCTGGGGCCTCCGGCATGAGGCTGCCAAGGACCCACAGCTTCATGTAGCATCTGTCCTCCTGGCACGTTTGAAGCCAGCGGCCCCACCAGATACCAGAGACAGCCCCCAGTGTTGGGGGCATCATGCTCGAGGATGCATTTCCCCAGAGCACAAGAACCTGGGCCCTGTAGACAAGCAGCCCCAGCCAAGTCTCAGGCCCAAGAAAGAGGGACAAGGTGAGGTGGTGAAATGGGCACCAGAGGAGGGAAGCCAACCTCAGACAGACCCTCAGACAGCAGAAAATCTAGCCTGGGGGTTCGAAGCCTTTCCCCAGCCCTCTCCCATTTCCCTCCAAACCTTAAATATGAAGTAGACATAATTACACATACCTCGCTGCTCTAAGAATCACTCAGGGCCAGATGCAGTAGATCATGTCCGTAATCCCAGCACTTTGGGAGACTACGGTAGGCGGATCACTTGAGCTCAGGACTTCCAGACCAGCCTGGGCAACATTAGTGTGATACCTTGTCTCCACAAAATAATAATAATAATAAGGCCGGGTGCAGTGACTTATGCCTGTAATCCCAGAACTTTGGGAGGCCAAGGCGGGCAGATCACTTGAGGTCAGGATTTTGAGACCAGCCTGGCCAACATGGTGAAATCCCATCTCTACTAAAAACACAAAATTAGCCTGGTGTGGTGGCGCATGCCTATAGTCCCAGCTACTGAGGAGGCTGAGGACGGAGGATTGCTTGGGCCCAAGAGGTCAAGGCTGCCGTGAGCCATGATCACACCACTGCACTCAGCCTGAACAAGACCCTGTCTCAAAATAAAGAATCACTTAGAAGCCTGGATGTTACCCTCCGTAGCACTGTGTTGCTAGCATCAGTTTCATATGCGTCCCTAACCCCGTCCCTGCTTAGCTGGCTGGATACCACTCCCAGCTGTTTTCCAGCCACCCCAGCTTTGTCCTGCACATGGTACTCTCCTGCCCACGGAACGCCCTCTCAGCCTGCTGCTTGCCAATGAGCTCATCCTGCAAGGCTTGGTTCAGATACCACCTCCTCCAGGAAGCTGCCCCTGATCCTTTCCTCCTCCCTTTTCCCACCTGCCTAGGTTTTTGATGCCATGATAAGGAATTTGGCTGCAGATCCTAGGGCAGTAGGGAGCCACTGCAGGCTCTAAACAGGGAGCAGTGACCCAGCGACTCTCCGTGGTGGCCTCTGCAGGCAGCATGCAGACAGGGGTGCTCAGACATCCGGAATTCACAGGCTGGTCAAATTTCAAAGGAGTATTGCAGACCTACGGAAGATTGCCAACTTTCTATTTTTCCTATGTTGGGGCCTTTAGAAAAATAATTACAATTTCCCTTTTTGAGAGAATATCTTTAAACCAAAAAAAAAAAAAAAGTAAGAAGACAATCTCAGGACAAAGGCCCTTCCTTTGTGCTGGATAAACAGAGCCTTTGGAAAACTTGACACATGGTCCTCACATTTGATGGTTGGAAAACAGCTAGCGGTGGTATCCGGCCTAACAGTTGGAACTGTGATCAGGGCTGGGCCTCCATATGGGTGGGGCCTCCTCTCGGCATCCCTTCCTGCCCCAGACCACAGGTTTCCTGAACCCCCCTAGACCAGGTGGGTTTCCTGGCTGGTCCCCTGGCTGCGCTCAGGTCCTCTAACCTGGCGGTTCTCAGAGGTCAACTCAGATGAGTATCGAGCTGGCCAATGTGACGAGTGCCCACCACGGGGAGGCCCCTGGGGCAGTCTGCAGCTCCAGCACTCATGGATCACTGCAGCCTCAACCTCCTGGGCCCAAGCAACCCTGACTTCAAGACACGAGGATGCTTATGAGAATAGAGAAGAGGGGACAAGGCACAGATGCCCTCTGTCCCCACAGTGTGAGGCAAGGAGCAAACGTGTGTGTGCGCAGGAGCCTGGGGCCACCCATGGTGGAGGGAATGCCTGATGCATGACCAGCCTGAGTGGAGAGTCCACACTGAGCCTTGTGGATTGTTCTAGAGGGAGATTCATCGTCCCTTCCAAGGGCAGGCTGTACTGTGGATGTTCTGCTGATAAGACAGTGGGTACCATCAGTAATTAGCATTGAAATCCTGTGCTCAGCCTCAGAGCTGGGAGGCCCAGGGTGACTACTGAGGACAGCCCAGCATTGAAGACAGGCCTGAAGATGATTAGGGGCAGGGTTACACTGCTAACACCTGCTCTATTAGGTGACGTTAATTTGTAATCTTGTTTCCAGCTTTCCTTTGCCTTTTAATCCTTCTTTGTCAAGAACAAATTTCAAGCTATCCTGTTTCCCAATGATCACGTTCGAAACGGGAGGTCTGGATTAATCTCTGACCAGCATTGGCCCATGTATCAGTGCTCAGCCGCTTGCTTTAACCAGGCTGTGTTGTCCTAGGCTTGCTCCTACAAATATGATGTGACTCAACACTCATGTCAGGCCCTGGGCTAGGCACCAAGGACGCTCAAGACACAGTCCTTAGCCGGGCACAGTGGCTCACGCCTGTAATCCCAGCACTTTGGGAGGCCAAGGGGGATGGATCACCTGAGGTCAGGAATTCGAGACCAGCCTGACCAACATGGAGAAATCCTGTCTCCACTAAAAATACAAAATTAGCCAGATGTGGTGGCGCATGCCTGTAATCCCAGCTTCTCCGGGAGGCTCAGGCAAAGAATCACTTGAATCCAGGAGGTAGAGATTGCAGTGAGCCGAGATTGCTCCGTTGCACTCCAACTTGGGCAACAAGAACGAAACTCTGTCTCAGACAAACAAACAAACAAACAAACAAAAAACAGTCCTTGCTGTCTTGTAACCAGAGGCAGGAATAGCCTATGTCTCAGGAGTGGCTTGTCATGGCCAAGGGATCCATCCTGGAAAGCTTTCTGGAGGAGGCGGTAGCTGAGTGGAGCCTTGCACAGGGTAAGTGCTCACTAGTGTCAGCTACTGTTGTTATTCCCAGCAGGAGTAAGAGGGGAGAAGCTCTGATCACCATGCAAGTGGGAAGAGCATCTCCTTCAGAGGGAACAGCATTCGAGAAAAGGCAAGGAGTTCTCACCCAGCCAAGTGGGGGTGGGGCGGGGAGTTGGTGGTCAGCGATGGGGAAGTGGGGGGAGGTGAAGAGGCTGGAAAGAGAAGCAGGGGGCCAACCCTGCTTTGGTTCTTAAAACAAAAGGGTTTTTTTTTTCTTTTTTTTTTTAGGTGGGGACAGGAGTTGTGCACATTTGGGAAACCGCTCTGGCAGCGGCCCAGCCCCGGGGGAGGAGGCTGCAGTTAGGGAGGCCACTATTTGGGCAAGGGGAAGTGTGGCCATGGGGAGGGGAGGAGCCCAGGCTGAATTACAGGGGAGGTTTTAGGAAGGACAGCCAGGACTTGTACATCTGCTGGCCCCAGGGCCCTGGCTCATGCTCAGAATGGACAGATGCGGAAGGGGTGCCCCAGGTCAGCCTTGGTGTGGGGCTGAGGCCCTGTGCAACTGGGCTTAGTGGGGTGGCCACTGGAATATCCTGCAAGACACCCCGATGCTGCTGTGACGGAGGGACCTGATGGTGGGAGGCTGCAGGGGGATCCTGGTAGTGGCTGCTTCATACGGGCGTCCTGTTTCCCAGCAAAGATGGATCAAGGACTATGGAGCCCGCAATTGTGGGGCTGCCCTCCACACCAGAGTGAAGAGCCAGAGGGGCCTGGTGGAAATGTGCAGGGCATGTCACACCCACACCTAAGGAAAGGGCCCAGTCCTACAGCACCAGCAACCAAGCAGTTAAAAGTATTCTGTGGCTCCCAGGGTCACAGAGTGGAGCCTTCCCCAGAGTCAGGAGCCTGGATTCAGGGTCATTGTCCCTGCAGAGCTCAGAGCCCAGATTCTCCCTGCCCCACCTCACTCTCTTTGGGATTGATTGCTCAGCAAAGACAAAAAGACGGCGGCCCTCCATGGACCAAAGCCCCTGAGCCAGGGCCCATCCCCCAACAGTGGTGTTCCTGCTATAACAGGTCCCTGCCGGGTAGGATGAGACACCTCTGTGTAAAAAAACACGTCCACACACACTCCCGCGATATTGATGCAAAAACAATCTGTTCGCTCTTCCTAGAGTACTGACCGGTAATACCATATTCAAAAGCCTTTAAAAAAGCAAATCCTCAGTGAAGTTACAATTATTCTCCTGGGAGTACACCAAGGGAATTATTAGAAATGTATGACAAAGATGTTCATAGCAGCAGGTTTGTAAATCACCTAGACAGCCAATCATCAAGAGTGAGGTAAAGAAGTTACATATGGAACATCTGAACAACGGATTCTTCTGCAGTCATTTAAGTGTGATCTAGAAATATTTAAAGAGGAGGTGAGTGGTTTGCTGCATATTAGTGAAAGTGCAGAGAGTAAAACGTGACATATGACCACGGTGATTTCAAATATGTATTACAAAAAGACAAGAAAGGCTGGACAAATATCCACCTGAATGTCAGCTGTGTTTCTCTGAGCTGGACTTCTATCTATTTGTTATGGTCTCAGAGATGCTTTCCCATGTTTGCAAATTTGCAGATGATGAACATATATCATCTATGTTTGCAAAAGGAATCAGTCGTGTGTGTGTGTATATGTGTGTGTGTGTGTATCTCAATGGCACAGAAATAAAAGGCCAAGTTAAAGATGCATAATGACTCATTGCTTCCCCAAAGCAAGTTTTCTCTCTCCCAGCTTGGAAATTATTACGGAAAATGCCAGATGTGTGAGGCCTGGCTTGGACCCTGTTTGTCCAGAGCTGGGCTCCCCAGAAGGGCCATCCCCAACCACCTAGGCACGGTCACCTAGGAGGAGCTGGTTACGTGTGCAGGCCTTGTTCCATGCAACCATTCTTGGGACCAGAATCTAAGAAATATCTTTTTTTTTCCCCCTCCAGAAATGTCTTTGTGTGTATGTAGCAAAACATACATAACAAAATTTACCATTTACCATTTCAGTAGCATTAAATAGATCCACATTGCTGGACAACCATCACCATGATCTGTCTCCACAACTTTTTCATCATCCCAGACTGAAACTCCATACCTATTAAATAATAACCAAAAAAAAAAAAAAAAAAAAAAAAAAAAAAAAAAAAAAAAAAAAAAAAAAAAAAAAAAAAAAAAAAAAAAAAAAAAAAAAAAAAAAAAAAAAAAACCCTCGGTCTCTACTCTCCCCAGTGCCCAATAAGCACGGCTTTACTTCTGACTCTGTGAATTTGACTACTCTCGGGACGTCGTACAGGTGGAATCGTACACTACGTGCCCTTTCGTGTCTGGCTTACTTCACTGCGCATCATGTTTTCAAGGTTTATCCACGTCATATCATGTGTCACAACTTCATTCCTTTTGAAAGCTGCGTAATATCCCATTATATATAATAATTATAAATATTATATATATAATATATCACCTTTTCTTTCTCCATTCATCTACCTGTGGACACTGGGGCTGTTTCTACCTTTTGTCTATTATGCATAATGCTGCTTCTTCTTTGTACCAAAAGTGTACAAATATGTGTTAGTGTTCCTGTCTTCAATTATGGGGGTATATACTTAGGAGTGGAATTGCTGGGTCCTGTAGTAGCTCTGTGTTTACATTTTTGAGGAACTCTCATACTGTTTTCCACAGCAGGTGCACAATTTTACATTCACATTCCCACTAACAAAGCTAACATTTCCACCAACAGGGCTCATTTTTACATCTTTTGTAAAGACGAGTTCTCACTAAGTTGTCCAGGCTGATCTCCAGCTTGGTTTTTTTGTTTGTTTGTTTGTTTTTTTAGAGTTTCACTCTTATTGCCCAAGATGGAGTGTAATGGCACAATCTCGGCTCACTGCAACCTCTACCTCCCGAGTTTAAGCAATTCTTCTGCCTCAGCCTTCCGAGTAGCTGGGATTACAGGCGCCTGCCACCACGCCTGGCTAATTTTTGTATTTTTAGTAGAGACAGGGTTTCTCCATGTTGGCCTGGCTAGTCTCAAACTCCCGACCTCAGGTAGTCCGCCTGCCTCAGCCTTGGTCTTGAGCTCTTGAGCTCAAGCAATCCTCCTGCCTTGGCTTCTTAAAGTGTTGGAATTACAGGGGTGAACCACCACGCCCACCAGGAGTTCTTTATATATTCTGCCAATGAGAGATATTTTTTGTATATACAGTACTGGAGTTTAAACCAATTGTTAAAATACTAATTCATTACTTTTTAAATTTGGAAAACATAAAAAGGGAGGCACAAGAAGCATTCGTGTTTATATGCTTTGACTCAGCAGTTCCACATCTAGGGATTGGATATGCACAGATTTAGCTGCAAGAATGTTTATTGTAAAAGAAAGAAGTAAGGAAGAGATGAAACGGGAAACAACATCAATATCCAATAATCTCACATGGGTTAAATAGAATACAGCCCCGCTGTGTAGGATCACAAACAATGCTGTGAATGAACACTAAATGATGTGTGACATTTAGAATATAGCCACGGTTACAAAGACAAAGTTGCAAAGCAATATTTAGAGCATGATCCATTTTTTTTGTCTCAACAAATGCATAATTGCGTAAAAAGAAAGAATGTCAAATGTTAACAATGGTGATCTCGTGTGAGGGAATCTCAGGGTACTTTTTTTCTTTGTATTTTTTTACCAGTTTTCCAAATTTCATGCAATAAGCCACAAGCGTATATACAATGTTATCCCGATTATGTAAATATCTACATATTTAGATAAAAAGATACTCCAGGCCAATATTTTGCTTGGTGACTAGGAAAGGTTTCTCCTTTTCTTTCTTTGTACTCGCCTAGGTTTTACAAATTCTCCACCGTCTGGTGGTTTTACCTCGTTTAGGGAGGGGAAAAATATAGGAAAAGTTGTTAAACTTTAAAGTGGAGATCCAATTTGCGCGAAAGCTCGGAATCAGCCCCGCGGCCAGCAGCCGCACGGAGGAACCGCCCAGACCCCGCCCCGGCCCAGCTAGGCCCCGCCCCACAGCTACGGCCAGCCTAGCCTTACGCTGAGCTTTCTGAGCGGGCCGCGCAGAGGCCCCGCCCAGGCCCCGCCCGCTCGACAGCACGCAACATCCGCACAGCCCGCGGCCTGGGATCTAGGAGACGGTCACCCAGAGGCCCCGCCCTTGGCGCGTAGAGGCCCGGCCCCAGACTTGGCCCCGCCCCCTCAGCTGCGGCGCTACGTCAGCACGGCCCGCCGCACCCTCGCTTGGGCTTCCGGAACAGGCCGCGCCAAGGCCCCGCCCCGCGGCCGCACCAGGCCTCGCCCCTTTGGCTACGGCACTGCGTCCTCGCCGCACGTCGCGCCCTCGTCCTGGCTTCCGGGGCGGGACGGAAGAGCGGGCGGGACCTTCCAGTACAAGGCGCCGCGGCTTCCGCCCGGGAGGGGCGCTGATCCCAAACGAGGTTGTGCGCGCTTCCTGCGATGGTGTTTTGCTGTCCCCGTTCAGCCCCAGGTGCGCGGGACGTAGAAGCCAGACAGCCGGGAGGCGGAGATGAAAGGGGCCGCGCGTGCCAGGCCCTGCTGCAGCCCCCGAGAGGTCGGAGGCGCGGAGCCAGGGCTGACCCTGTGCGCACTGGGTCGGGGGCCATCCCGCGTCTCAGCCTGCGCTGGACGCACCACCCGGGCAGAAAAGTGACATCAGAACCTTAGGCTCCGTTGTCAACCACGGTTACTGATGTCACCCGTTTGCACAGGGAGGAAGGTGTGACCTAGGGAGGCGTCCTCCTGTCCTAGTCAGGGTCTGCTCTGGGTGGGAGGGATTGTAGGACCCCCTCTCTACTGGCTGTCACAGCCTAAGCTGGTGAACTGTTTCTAGCTAGAGTGCCTCTTCGGTGAAGTCTAAAGCCACGAGATGACAACGGCAGCTGCCGTGTATTGAAAAGCACGTGCCAGGCCATCCTGGACTTACCGGTAAATGTGTTATCTCAGTAATCCTGGCAGCTGTATTAACGTGCATGCCAGCCCCTTTCACAGATGAGGGGCTGAGGTCAGAGAAGCAGCTTGCCAGAGTCCCTGGAGGGCAAAGGGGCACAGCCTAGATTTGGACCCAGATCTCTGATTCTGAATCTCAGCGGTTAGCCTGTGCGCGGACCCGGCATCCTGTGATAATAGTTTCCCTTCAATAGGTGTAGCTGCCTGTCAGCTCCGTTGGTTACCTTAGCTCACTGCTGCCTCCTCGAGTTTGGAAGACCCGCTTACCCATAGCTAAGCCCCTCTCCCAACTCTGAAGGTGCTCAGCATCCCTGAGCTTGACCCAAGTTCCCTGGAAATTCCCACCCACCTGTTACCCCAGATCTCCCAATACTCTGCCTCCCTTTGCTTGAGGTGGGAAAGGATGCCCTCTGCCCAGGATCTGAATGGCCGGTGTGCAGCGCCAAGCCTGCTGGGCCTATGGTGGCAGGGCTGCAAGTGCACGACAGAACACACCCAGGGTGCTCACACAGTGCCAAGCCAGCCCCCAGGGTGCTGAGGCTGCCTCTCCCCTCTGTACCCCGCCCTCCCTTGTAATGCAGAGGCCGAAAGTCTTGGCTTTCCGGGTAGGTAGATGCTGGACGTCAGCAGCAGACAGGGCACCCCAGCACAATGAGCCCGCAGCAGTCCAGACTTTCTAGCCTCCAAGTGTACCTCAGAGCGGAAGCTGCGCATTTGATTTTTTTTTTTGGCTCCATATTAAAGAACAAAGCATGGGAACTGGACAGGCCCCTCTGTAAACAGAAAACACATGTTTTCTGAGAGAATGGGCACTTCCTCTCCTGGTTTCATCTCCCATGGACAGAGGTCTCCTTAGGCCTGCTGACTTCAAGACCAGGGAGGCTGCAGACAGAAGGCTGAGAGGAGGTGATTCGTCTTTGCTCAACTCGCCTTCTTGAATGGGGGCAAAGACAAGTGCTAGAGGTCTGCTTGGCAGTGGGGTGTGGTCTGAGGAGGGAGGCCCCTCAGAGACCGGAACAGGAAGTGGGGGTCTGGACCATTTGTGTCCTCCAAGCACACTGGAATCATTTAGGGTTCTACCCGAACTAGCTCCAGGTGAACGTGTGTTCTTTGGAGCCTGCTAGCCACAAATGGGCAGAGACCTCTAACTCAGATGAGAAGCCTGTGTCTGCAAAGAACGGGCATTCTGGGACTGAGTACCCACTGCTGTGTGGCCTTGGGCAAGTTTCTTAACCTCTCTGGGCCTCACATTTCTCATCTGTAAAAGCAGGATAACAGTAGTTATTTAGGATTAAATAAGATCATGGAAAATGCCCCATTGGACACATAACTAGGAGCTAATTAATAAGTGAGCAAAATCAAATATTGTCTCTGTTTCAATGCTGAGCTATTGTAGAGTGGCCCAAGAATCCTCTACAGACTCCCGGGGTGCCCGTACTCCAAAGAGCACCTCCTCTTCCCCTGCCTTCTGTTGAGCACAGCCACTCCCAGGCGGCTGTGACACCTTTCTGGAAGCAGCCATCTTGCGGACAGATCATCCCTTTGAATCTCCCCGGCAGCCTGAACTTTGTCCTTGAGGGGAGATTTGATTTGGGGAAATCATCAGACATCCTTTAAGACAAGTCTGCTGAATGGATGCTCAGAAGCCAAGCCAGGGCCTCCTGTCCGGTTCAGTCTGGCCTCATGCGCTGAAGGCAGTATACAAAGGATCTGGACTGGATCATCGCCACTGGTTTTGGTGGGTGTGAGCAACGTGTCCGTGTGTGTGTGTGCGTGTGTGTGTATGAAAACAGAGATATTCACACACACTCCTAAGCTCAGTGGACGAACCAAACCAAAGCCTGCCTAATGAACATGAGGCTGCCTTTCATCTCTCAGCCCACAACTTGATTTTCATGGAAATTTCTCTGTGTGGGAAAATTACAAGCATTTCTGAATACAGGCAAGTGTGTGAGAGTGCGGCAGCATGTTGTCCTGGAATACTGGGATTTAGAGGTTGGGTTCCCCCAGTCTGTTCCTAACCAGCTGTGTGGCCTCTGGCTCCTTTCTTCACCCCCTAGCCCTTGGTTTCCGCATCTTAAGTGCTCCAGGAGGGAAACACACAGGCTGTGCCCACATGCGTGGGCATTCACAGCACGTGCTGGTGACATTGCTTATTAAAACATTGTAAACATTAATTGGCAGTCACAAAGTTCTAGTCACAATAGCAGACATTTTTAAAAATCAGAAACAGGCCAGGCACAGTGGCTCACGCCTGTAATCTCAGCACTTTGGGAGGCCGAGGTGGATCACTTGAGCCTGGGAGGCGGAGGTTGCAGTGAGCCAACCTTGCACCACTGCACTCCAGCCTGGGTGACAGTGAGACCCTGTCTGAAAAAACAAACAAAGAAACAACAGAAACAGTTCAATTGTCCATCGGTAGATGAGTGGGTAAACAAATATCAATAGGCGTATGATAAAATATCACAAAGCAGTAAAAAGGAATGAGCCATTGATAGACGCAACAACATAGATATCAGGATCCCGAGCAAGTTATACCATGAGTTTTAATTTTTTTTTTTTTTTTTTTTTTTTTTTTTTGAACGGAGTCCTCTGTCACCGGCGGAGTGCAATGCGATCTCAGCTCACTGCAGCCCCCCCCACCCATCCCGCCCAGCCCCGAGTACTGGATACAGCGCCCGCCACCCCCAGCTACTTTTTATTTTTTAGACTTTCACCGTGTAGCAGATGGTCCATCTCCACCGTGATCCCCGCCAGCCTCCAAGGCTGGATTCAGTGAGCACCGCCCCTGAGTTTTAAATTTTTTTAAAAAATAAAAGTGATCTACAGTGGTTGGATTCAGATTGCTGGCTGCCAGGGAGTCAGAGACTGCCTGCAAGGGGCTCTAGGGAGCGTTTTGTGGGGATAGATATTTCTTTCTTGATCTCGGATATGTAACACGGTGCATACGTTTGTCAAAACTCATCAAACAGTAGAGGTGAAAGGGATTTTGCTGCATGGAACTTAGACTTCAATAAGGTGGATTTCAAAAATTAACTGGTATTTATATTTTATTTTTCAAATCTTGTAGAAATAATAAGACATAAAATGCTCACAACATATTCAACAAAGACTGTAAAATAACCTATAGTATGATCTAATGATTGTATATACGTGAATATTTGTATTTATAACTTACGGTCCATTCATATAGATATGTGTACGCACACACACACACATGTATGCATGCGCACATATGCACACATACAGTTTGGAAAATATAGCAGAAGGACTTTCAAACAAATGAACTCAGTAATTACCTCATGGGTAATTGTTTTCTTTTTAGTTTTCAATTCTAAATATTCTCTTAGTTTTTTCTTAATTCTAAATATCCTTTTAGGGGTGGTTTTTTTTTTTTTTTTTTTTTTACTTTTCTGTAATGAGCACTTTTTTTGTGGAAGAGGAGTCCTTTTTGCTTGCTATATTTTTCTTCTTTGTTAATTGACAATTGTATATATTCAGGGGTATGTTATGTATATGATAACACTTTTCTTTTTATAAACAAAGAAGAACACACATATCTCTCTTTTTTTTTTTTTTCTTTTTTCCAGCTGCAGCAGGCCAGAGACATGAGACATGGGGCTGGGCCCCAGGACAGGGTGGTGAGGACATCCCGGTTCCCACGAAAAGCAACCGCCTGGCAAGGCTGGAGCAGACAAAGAGGGAGTGAGGGGGTGTGGCTCACTCCCCAAGTTTTTTGGCTCAGCTTCAGTGCTGGGTCATTCTTGGGGACTGCTATACCCACTGGGCACTGCAGAACTTCTGGTGCTTGTGGCAAAGGGGAGTCAGGAGGAGCCCTGTCCCTGGACCAGACCTTCCTGTTTGGGGTACTGGGACCCAGTGGCCCTGTGCACCTTTCCTGAAGCTTCTGGGCCCCCAGTGATCGAATGCAGTGGGCTGGGGAGTCACAGACTGTGCTTCCTGCCTTCATCCTCCGTTCCAGGTTCCTGTGCATTCGTGGGCCCATCCACCTGGCTGGGCTTGGCTAGGCTGTGACCTTCTCTGAGGACAGGGCTCTGCCTGCATTTGGAGCTGCTGGGACCTCAGTGTCACCCCCCACTCTCGCCAGCTGGCCTCACAAAGGTGCCCAGGAGGAGACCTGATTGCCGGCTCCTTTCCCCTCCCTGGCTGAGCAGATTCTACAACAGCCTGTGGAAATTAAAATAAGAGCCTAAAACTGTCAAAAAAATTTTTTTAACCAAGTCACAAATGGGAAAGCTGAGGCGGCAGCAGGTTAAGGACACGTTGTGATGTAGCGTTCTCTCCCGGTGCTTTCGTACTGTAAACATCACAGTCCACGGTCCCTGTGAACAGGCAGCCACAGAGACTGGGTTTAGAGTTGCCGGGGGAAGGCTGCATCCAAAGTGTGGCCAGCTCAGAACTATTCCACCACATGGGGGGTCATTAGTTCTGCTCAGTTCTGTGGGGCCTCACTAGTGTTTCCATTTAAAAATAAGTCAAGGTAAAAGAGAAAGTTTTAAAATCTAACAGTCATGTATCTATTTCTGTAATTGTAAAGAAATACACTGTCCTGTGCCGGCTGGAGGCTCTGGAGCAGAGGACCTAGGAGACAATGTTTTCTTTTTCCTTTTTTTTTTTCCTGAATTTTCCAAACCATCTATAACAGTGTGTATTGCTTTTATAATGGGAGGAGATAAAATAGACTTACATTAAAAATAAAGTGCACCTGAGCCTACATGTCACATGTGATAATCAAAGGCACTTTCTATTTATCAAATACCTGGTTCATGCCGCATCTCATGCTAGGCCCTCCCAGCATGCTGGCTCCTCAGAACCCCCTGCAGGTGGGAGCTGGCAGCCAGGTCCCTGAGGCAGCACTCGGCACCCACGTAGCAGAGCCAAGGCTGGACAGGGATGACTCCAACTCCCAGGATTGTATTATGCTTATAACGACTTCCTGCCTGTTTGTATTTAAGACAAGGTCTCTCACTGTAGCCTTGACCTCCCGGGCTTGAGCAGTGCTCCCACCTCAGCCTCTGGAGTAGCTGGGAGTTACAGGTGCACACCACCATGCTTGGCTAATTTTTGTATATTTTGCAGAGACAGGGTTTCACTGTGTTGCCCAGGCTGGTCTGGAATTCCTGGGCTCGTGTGATCCACCAGCCTCAGCCTCCCAAAGTGCCAGGATTATAGGCGTGAGCCACAACACCCAGCCCCTGTCTCTTAAAGGTGAACATTTTCCCTAAATACAATGATGTTCAGTTCAAGTATTTGTATCTCACTTACATAGAATATGGAATTATTTCTGTAAACAGAATTTAGTAAAAAATATAAAAATCAGCCAGGTGTGTTGGCTTACGCCTGTAATCCCAGCACTTTGGGAGGCCAAGGTGGGCAGATCACAAGGTCAGGAGATAGAGACCACCCTGGCCAACATGGTGAAACCCTGACTCTACTAAAAATATAAAAATTAACTGGGCATGGTGGTGTGCACCTGTAGTCCCAGCTACTTGGGACGCTGAGGCAGGAGAATCGCTTGAACCTGGGAGGCGGAGGTTGCAGTGAACCAAGATCGCGCCACTGCGTCACTGCACTCCATCCTGGTGACAGAGTGAGACTCTGTCTTAAAATATATATATATATAAAACTCATAGATTTTTACCTTATTTTACCTTATGACACTGTTGACCAACAGCCAAAGTCAGGATCGGTTATGTAACTCTCAGAGCCCAGAACAAAATGAAAATATGGGTTCCCTTGTTCAAGAATGACTGAGAATTTTAAGATCGGGGACAGCCAAACATTGAGTGTGGGGCCCTTCTGCACACGGACCCTCTACCATGGGGTAGGCCACAAGGCCCACAAAGTCAGCCCTGGACAAGTTATTGATGGTGTATGATAGAACTAAGGTGACAGTTCCCTTTGAGACACACTCTAATCATCAGTGACCACCAGTCAGAAAACAAATGGGCTTAAGCTGCAGGAAGACGAGCCGTTTCCAAGGCATTTTCCAATCTGAAAAATAGCGGTCGCAGCTCAGGAATGGAGTTCCCGGTGAGGACGCAGCGGGAGACACAGCCAGGCTTCCCTCCCCAGGAGAGGGCCAGGCCCTGCATAGGAGCTTTCGTGAAAAACCAGGGAGGCTGCAGATTCTCTGGAAATATCAACACGCTGGTGCCACACCTCGATAGAGCTTCCGTCACTCTGCCGTGGAGCGCGCGAGGCGGACCGTCCCAGGCCTTGGGGAGAAATCATGACAGCTGATGCCAGTGCTTGTTACTAGGAAAACACAGTAAGAACCTTCATCCCTAAATGTTTATACCTACTATGTACTCACAAAAATTTTAAAAAAGGATTTACCATGAAAATGTAAAGTATCTCAATCTTTATCTTGATCATACGTTGAACTGATAATATTTTGGATATATTGGTTTAAATAAAATATATTAATTTAAAAAAAAAAAGAAAAGGAAAACTTCATCCTGCTGCCTCTGGGAAAAGATCTTAGGTTCATTGGCAGGTAAACGTTCCCCCAAAGGAGGTCCGCTATGAATGCTGGAAACGAACCGTCAGCTGACAAGCATCTGCAGCTCTGAAAACAAGGGCTCCACGCATTGTCCCCACCAGTGCCCCACCAGCCCACCCCCATCACCTCTATGTCCTCAGCCCCACGTCAGGTTCTGGAAGTTTCCAGGGGAGTGGGCAGTACCCTCAGGGGCTCTTGGGGTGAGGCCTCTTCCATGAATCACATGTGGAAGCCCGGGACCAACCTCAGAGAGGATCATGTCTGAGAAGTCGTCTGAGGGGAAAATATCCACTTAAGAGAGTGGTTCTCCAGGCCTTTGGGGACAAAGGACAAATATTCCACCCCAATCCCCAACAGGCTCCTTGTTCATTTTTCTTTAAAAAACAAGAAAACAAATCCCCATTCTCCCCAGCCTGAAACAGTGCTCTGGAGGAGCTGCCCTGGCCCCGAGTGTCTTCTCCATAAACACGTCTGGCGAGGAAGGACGGACAACGGCCTCAGGCCCAGCTGGCACCCAGAAGATCTATGCCTCCCAGCGCCTCCAGGGCCCTTGCAGTCTCGAGAGATGTGGCTTGGCCACTTTTGCAGATTCCCAGGCCTGGGGCCACTCAGTTGCCTCCCCCAGCCCAGGTGTCTCCACAGGACCCTGGCCTCGGAGAGTCTGAAGCCAGGCAGGGAGAAGAGGGTAGAAAATGGTGGTGCTGGGGAGCTGGGCTGTGGGAGTTGGGCTGTGGGAGCTGGGCCAGGCCAGCAAATCATTCCCGAAGGTGGAGAACTGCCGGCTGAGGGCACCGTGGGCCTGGGTCCAGGGCCCAGCGTGGAACCTCTTCTTCTGGAGCACCAGGGGTCACAACAGCATGGGCCTGGGTCCAGGGCCCAGCGTGGAACCCCTTCTCCTGGAGCACCAGGGGTCACAACAGTCCCTCTACTCCACGATCACGGGTGACCCACGGCCGGGTGCTTTCGGGACGAGACAAAGACAGCGTGTTCCTCCAAGCCCCTGCCTGCCGCTCCGTCACTGGGGCCATGGTCTGCGTGCCAACAACCTTTTAGGAAGCATCTTGTGCCCACCCTCACCACCCCGCAAAAAACCTGTGTCCAAAACACTTGGCAGTGGGCTTCAAACACTCAGGTGCCCCGAGGAGGCGCCGGGAGATGAGCCCAGAGCGCTGACTGGCGAAGGCCCCAGCAGGACTGGGCCGTGGGACTTGCTTGTTTACCTCTTAAGAGAAAAACACAACGAAAAAAGCTTCTGGGTAGAATTGGAAGTTCTGGGGCTCTCGGCGCCTCGGCCTCCGCGCGGTTCTCTTCCTCCCCTCCCCGGCCTGCTTTTCCTCCTTCTTTCCCTCTTTGTTGCCAACCTCAGAGCCGCGGCTGAAACCCAGCCCAGCGTCCGCGAAGCCCGGAAACTTCCAGCTCCGCGACTGTGCAGAAAGTTGGGGGGCGCGGCCGGGGTGACAGCAGCATCTCGGGAGCGGCCGCGGCGGCCACCCGGGACCTCGGCCTCCCGCGCCTCCCGCTGCCCCAGCCGCGCCCGGGGACCTCGGGCAGCCCGCGGGCCGGACGTGAACTTGACCGTCGCTGTGCCCGCCTGGACCGGGGCGCGCTCGGGACGATCTGGTAAGCGCTACCCCTCCCGCCCTCGCCCGGCGGCGCTGGGGTCCGGGTCGGGGTCCGTGGCTCGACCACGAGGGCGTGTCCGGGGCGGCGGGCGCCAGGGCTCCTCGGCCGCTGCACGGGAGCGCACGGCTGAGCCCGCGGCCCGGCCCGGTGAAGTCAGCCCCCAGCCTTCCAAACAAAGACTCGGAAAGTTGGGAAGGGAATCGTTCCCGACATTTTCCTTCCCCTCGGGCTCTGCGTTGCGGCCATCAGGGCTCCTAAAAGGGAAAGGAGAGCTCTCTGGTTTTCTCCTGGTGTTTTCTTCCCTGCGCTTTGCCCCCCACCTTTGGCTGGAGGGAAGGAGGAGGGGGCATGGACGCCCCTCGGGTCCTCAGGTGTTGACCCTCCAAGGTCAAGCTACCCAGGGACACCACAGGAGGTGAGGGCCTGTGGGATGAGGGACCCCCGACAGCACAAGGAGGCAAGCCCCTCATGGCTGCAATGCTTGGGTCCTGGGGCTCAGATGGAAGTTGCTCCTGATCTCCCCCACCGTCCGTACCATTCTGAGTGACTTCTCTTAGCCGTCCTAGGTGACCCTTCTGAGCAAGACACCCTGGTCACCAATGTCCTGTTGGCTCTGCTTGAGGCAACCACAGTGCCAAGTGAGCCTGGCGGGTGCTGGGTCACAGGACAGCCATGGATAGGGCCTGGGGAGGAGAAGAAGCCGGGGCCCTGTAGGGTCTGTTCCTTGGGGAGCAGGTGGGGGACTCTGCTGCCGCCCCAATTCCTGCCTGCGACAGGCCCAGCCCATACCTCCAGCTAGCTTCTCTGCATGCCCCTCTGTCTGCCTGAGACAAGGCCTCTGTCCCCGTGAGGGTTCTGATCCCTGGGGGGCACTCCTGGGGTAGAAACCTACCCCGCCAGTGGGCGGTGGCAAAGCCCTGGAAACTCACAGAGCTGTCCTGGGCCTGGGCCTCCACAAGCCTCCCATTTTGATCAGGTGCCCCCAACCACAGCAGGGACCACCTATCAAGTCTTGCTACCCGCGGTGGCCAGGTCCTCAGCCTTCCAGAGACCATTGCTAACTTGCCTCCATCCCCGGGTGCCTACGCTCCCAAAGTCCTCCTTAGGGGAGCACCCAAGCCAAGAGGGCTGGCCAACCAGAGCCTGAGCGGGTCACCACACCGTGTCCCTGGCCTCTCCGGCAGGGCTGTCGCAGGGCAGCCTGCAGGCGTCAGCTGGGGCACAGAAGGGGTTTGCAGTGATGGCAGGGGACGGAGTGCTCAGTCAGCTCCAGCCTGTTGCTACCATGAGGATAAGGGCTGGGGCTGTCGGAGTTTCTGACTTGGGAAGAAATCCAGATTTGTACATGAAATGTCCAAAATTCGAACACATTGCAGGACAGAGGAAACACTGTCGGGTTGAACCCATGCCCCCACCCCAAGTTTGCAACTCCTTTGTACGCCTGAACTGGTTAGTGTTCAAAGGAAGGCAGATTTCTTAGTGACCCTGGCCCCAGCCCGAGATTTGAGCAGGAGGCCCCGTGGATCTGGGGAGCAGGGAGGCAGGAGAGTTTGTATCTTACAGATCCAGCACCATGGGGAGGGTCGGCCTCCACAGGCATGAGCTGTCCAGGTAACTAACCCTTGCTTGAGCCCATTTAAAGTTAAAATCTCCCTGAAATGAGGAACCTGACCTGCTCCATCCCCAAACCCTTTGGGGGAGCTTTTATGTCCATTCAATCAGGGTATAATGAAGGAAAGACAGGATGCAGAGAGTGAACCTGAACTTGGACTTTCTTCATGTCCCAGGCAGTGGAGCCGCAGCATGTCGAAAAGCCTGGGCTTATAGGGCAGTTCTGCACTGAGGCAGACCTGCCTCCGCCTGCCAGTGCTACCTCATTCTAGCTGGGTAACCTCACCTCTCTAGGCCTCAGTTTCCTCATTCATAAAAGGAGCTTAATAAGAGCCGGCAGAACTCACACCTGTAACCCCAGCACTTTCGGAGGCCAAGGCAGACAGATCATGAGGTCAGGAGTTCGAGACCAGCCTGGCCAACATGGTGAAACCCCGTCTCTACTAAAACTACAACAATTAGCCAGGTGTGGTGGCACACACCTGTAGTCCCAGCTACTCTGAAGCCTGAGGCAGGAGAATCGCTTGAACCCGGGAGGCGGAGGTTGCAGTGAGCCGAGGTTGTGCCACTGCACTCCAGCCTGGGTGACAGAGCAAGACTCTGTCTAAAAAAAAAAAAAAAAAAAAAAAAAAAAAGAGTAAAAAAAGAGTTCTATCTCAGTTGCATGGTTGGGAGAATGGTGACAATCCCTGTGAACATGGAGCACTCCGCTAGCACATGGCAGGCACTCAGCATCAGTGGCTGCTGGCTTCTCTCACACATCACCTGCTTCTGGGCAGCTCAGGAATTTCTCTCCTGCATCTCATGTCAACTTTGCATCGCTTGCCTCACCACCTTCTGGTGCTTGTTTCCATACCCTAAAGGAAACAGTCACTGAATACCTCCCCCACACCTATACTCCTGTATGGAGTACTAGGCACAGAGAGGTAAGATGACAAGGTCCTGCCTTAGAAGCTGCCAGATGCCCTGTGCAGTGACACCCTCAGGTGAGCTTCTCTAGGCTAATGCCAGAGAAGGTGTTTCCTGTGCAGCCTTTGTTGAATGCCTCCAGAGACAGGCAGCTCACCACCTATCTGGCAGTGTGGCTGTAGAAGCTGTAGGACAGGGTCACCCAGGCATCCTTGAGCCTTAACTGGTAGAAAGAGATGCAGGGCAGGTCCACAGACAGTGCCCCTGAGTCAGAGGCACCTGGTTTTACTGGAGAAAACACCTACCTCATAAGAAATTTCTGAAAATTTGGTGAGGTGTACAGAAAGATTTCAGTCTCCAGAAAAAGCACTGCAAATGCTCATGCATGTTTTTACAGAACAGAGCCCTGTTTCCTCTTTTTGCCGACAGCCCATTTAGCAATGCCAGGGCTGTGCTGGTGACCACACCCACTTCCTAACAAGGCAGCCACTGTCCCAGGGGACAGCCAATATATGCTTTGATTTTCCGAGGTTAGTGTCCTTGGGCCCCTGATTTTGGAAAGCCTGGACAAAATATAAGGAGTCACTGCATGGAAAATAAACCTACTCCAGAAGGCTGGCTGCTGTATTCAGGAAACTGGAGAGAAAGGTCAAGGTGTTCTGAGGCCCAGGGTTCCTCGCCAGGATCGGCTATAGAGTTTGCAGGACCCGGGTAAGGTGAGAATGTGGCGCCCTGGTTTGAAAATGCCTGAGAGTTACAAGATGGTGACGATGGTGCGCATTAAAATGAGCTTGGGGCCGTTCCGAGTGCAGGGCCTTCCTAAGCTCAGGGCCCCGTGCAGTGGTACGGGTCACAAACCCACAAAGCCAGCCCTGCCCCTCACACGTGTTCGTGCCACATGCTGAGGCCCAGGGAGGGACCAAAGGCAGCTTCAGTGAAGGAATACAACTCCTCGTCTTTGCCATTCTTTTTTTTTTTTTTTTTTTTTTTTGCCATCATTGATGTTCCACGCTAATTTTAGAACACTTTGAGTCCTCACAAAAGAAAAACATTTTTCAATCACCTATGAAACCACACTCAGAGATAGCCACTGGAAAGGCCTCACCCAGCTTCTGCCAAAACTTTTTTTTTTTTTTTTTTTTTTTTTTTTTGAGATGGAGTCTCGTTCTGTCGCCCAGACTGGAGTGCAGTGGTGCAATCTCGGCTCACTGCAACCTCTCCTTCCTGGGTTCAAGCGAGTCTCCTGACTCAGTCTCCCAGGTGGCTGGGACTACAGGCACCCACCACCACGCCTGGCTAATTTTGGTATTTTTAGTAGAGATGGGGTTTCACTATGTTGACCAGACTAGTCTCGAATTCCTGACCTCAGGTGATCCACCTGCCTCAGCTTTCCACAGTGCTGGGATTACAGATGTGAGCCACTGCACCTAGTCTGTCAAAACATATTTTAAGCAAAATTAGCATCTTATTAGGTGTATCATTTTATCTTCTGCTTGTTTCATTAATACTTTATCACAGTATTTTCCTAAGTCAGAAGATACAGTCCTGCAAATGAATTTTGATGACTATTTAGCATTCCACTGGACAGAAGTCCTTAACTAACCCCTTATTATCAGGCCGTTGGGTTCTTCTCAGTTATTTCCAGTTTTCCCCATTATAGGCAACACTTCTAGAACATTTGTCTGCACTTTTCTGATTACCTCCAGCTTTAGTGGTGGGACTCCCAGTTAAGTCATTAGGGGTGACATTTTGGCTCCAGAACCCTCTTGGGGTGGTCTCTGAAAAATCCCCTTGCCCAAGTACCTCAGCCCCCATGCCTCATGCAGTGATGATCCCACACCACAGCCCTGGCATCTTTCTTTCTTTTTTTTTTTTTTTTGAGATAGAGTCTTACTGTCATCCAGGGCTGGAGTGCAGTGGCACTACCTCAGCTCACTGCAACCTCTGCCTCCTGGGTTCAAGTGATTCTCCTGCCTCAGCCTCCAAAGTAGCTGGGACTGCAGGCACGTGCCACCACGCCCGGCTAATTTTTTGTATTTTTAGTAGAGACACAGTTTTACCATGTTAGCCAGGATAGTCTCGATCTCCTGACCTTGTGATCTATCCACCTCTGCCTCCCAAAGTGCTGGGATTACAGGCATGAGCCACCGCACCCGGCCCTGACTTTCAAGAGAAAAACCTGACTTTTCCCACAACTGACTTGACTGGCAGCGTAGGCAAAGACTCGAAGTGAGTCTGGAGCGCTGACTGCCTGCCCTGCACTGGCTGTGTTGATCTCCATCTGTGAGGTGCTACCTTCATCCCCAGGTACAGACAAGGACCCCAGGCTCAATGGGCTGAGGCACTGGCCCAGGGAAACTCCCTGCCGCCCTTATTGTGAGGAGGACACATTTGTGACTCTGAAGCAGAAAAGACCCTTTGTCCTGCCAAACCATGGGCTGGATTCGGGGGTCCACATGTGGCTGCTCGGGTGGCCTGACCACTGAGCCTGTCAGGCCGGGGTTGGGAGGAGGACGCTAGCCTGGTGCCTGCTCACAGGGAGCACTCAACAAACAGCAGCAGGAGGAAGAGGAGAGGACGGGGCAGCAGCAGCAGGAGGGGAGGCTCTGCGGGCATCTCCCAGCTGGCGAAGGCCCCTGAGAGCAGGGATCAGGTTTGCGGCCCCAGGGCCAGCCCAGCAGGGGAGCAAGGTGTGTGAACACATCGACGAGGGCTGTGTCCTTCTTCCCCTTCACAGGCAGCTGGGCATGTCCGGGCCAGAGGGGAGGGCCTGTTAGTTTCCTGTGGCAGCCAGGTAACAACTTCTGGCTGACTTAGAGGCTTAAGCAACACACATTTATTACCTTACAGTCAAGGGGGTCAGATGTCTGAGGTGGGGCTCCCAGGGCTAAAATCCAGGTGTTGGCAGGGCTAGTTCCTCCTGGAACTCCACGGGAAAAATCCATACCTTGCCTTTTCTGGCCTCTGGCGGCACCTGCTCCTTGGCTCCTCCTCCCTTCTTCCATCTTTAAAGCCAGCAGCGTCCCCTCGTTCTGTCTCTGACCACAGCAGGGAAGGAGTCTCTGCTTTTAAGGTTTCGTGTGACTAGACTGGGTGCACGTGGCTAATCCAGGCTACCCTCCCACTGCAGATTTTTAACTCAATCACACACCTGCAAAGTCCCTTTGGTCTAGTGCGGTAACACTTTCCCAGGTTCCAGGGATTAGGGCTCGGACATCTTGGGGACATTATTCTGCCCAGCAAAGGTGGTATCAGGGAGTCTGAGCATCTGAACCTCCCCAGGGGACTGAAGGAATGCCTGCAGTGTCCTCTTCCTCGTCCTCAGCAGCTGTGAGTCCAGAACAGAGGCCATCTACAAGGTCACACCTGGAGAGATCCAGGGAAACTGAGGTCACAGAGGTCTTGCCCAGGACGCCAGGCCAAGTCCTGTGTTGTCTTCCACAGATGCCCCCCTTCCCCACCACCCTGTAGTGCACTGGCCAGGGGGTGGCAGCGTTTTGGCCTGGAGGGACACCAGCCTGAGGACTCTGCGGAGCTCTGGGCCTAGGGGGAAGGCGGGAGGGACTGTCATCTATTGGGTGACTTCCCCACACCAGGGTCCGCTTTACGGAGGTTACCTTTTCACCCCCCAAGTCCCATGGGAAGTGCAGATTTGTTTCCTCAGTGCAGATTTGTTTCCTCATCTCATAGGTAAGGAAGTTGAGGCCCTCAAAGGGGCAGTGGCTTGTCCGTGGAGAAGAGTCTGGTCCTCCCAAGGAGCCTGTGACTGGTGGAGAAGCGGGTGTGAATGGGCTGTCCTATGAGCAGGAGGGTGGGTGTGCGGTGATGTCGGCGTGGTCCCTGTGGAGCCCTGTGCACAGGCCTGTGCATCCGCTGACAGGCAGCCGAGAAGACCTGCAGTCACATCGCTGATGGTAAAGCTGTAGCAACAGGCTCAGAGAGGTGTGTTAGTTTTCCCAGAGACACACAGCTCTCTGGAAGAGTGCCATCCTCTGAGCTCCTTTGCCTGGTGTTTTGCATCCCTTGCCCCATGGGCACATGTAGGAGCAGAGTTCCTTGGGGTTCGATCTGTGGGGTGGTTTCTGAGGGGGACTGTGTCATCCATTGTGGAACAGATTTAGCTGCCTCTCTGTAAAACATTTTTGCCTGACGTGAATTCTCTCCCTTGACTGGGGGCCAGCACAGTGCATAGTAGGGTAGTTAAGAGCCCTGGGTTTGGGCTGAGTACAGTAGCTCATACCTGTAATTCCAGCACACTGGGAGGCCGAGGCAGGAAGACATGAGCCCAGGAGTTTGAGACCAACCTGAGCAACAAAGGTTAAACAAAAAAGAAATTAGCTGGGCGTGGTGGCACATGCCTGTAGTCCCAGCTACTTGGGTGGCTGAGGCAGGAGGATAACTTGAGCCTGAGAGGTTGAGGCTGCAGTGAGCTATGATCATGCCACTGCACTCCAGCAGGGGCAACAGAGCAAGACCCCATCTCAAAAAAAAAGAAAAGAAAAGCCTTGGGACGGGAGCTGGGTTGCTCTTAAATCCCAGGGCCCCCACTTTGGTGTGATCTCAGGTATGCTCCTGACCGCTCTGTGCCCGAGTTCTCCCAGCTGTAAAGGGGGGTGATAATAATGCTGCCCAGACCCCAGAGGACACCGAGGAGGCTCTTGCTGGGCAACTGGTCCTGCCCCAGAGCCCTTCCACTCCACGCACCCCTGCGTACACTCAAG